TCGCAAAAACTCCACCACAGACCAGGTCTACCAGGTAAACAAATACACACACATACACTCACACATGCCTCTGTAGTAGTGAAGCATTCTAGCCCTGATGTTTTTACAGTTGTGTTGCAAAGCATTCACTTTTTTCACCCTCTCTCTCTCTTTTTCTTCCAGGCTGTGGTTATGAAACTTGGGATGGACAGTGTAACAGCCAGCTACTTTGCTTTGTTTGAGGTCATCAACCACACTTTCGGTTAGTAAGATCCAATTATTCAGCTCTGAGTTTGTGCATAACATTTTCCAGCCCTGGCTAGCGCTGTGAAAATATCCGAATGAAACTATATGAGATGAAATTTCAACCCACACAGCATCCCTGAACTTTGTGTTATTGTACGACAGAAGCAGCCGAACAGCACCGGTGAAAAACAAGAATGATCTTTGATGAGTGATTTCGACGCAGGTCACAGGAGTTCAAAATTGTTTGTTTCAGGCGAAGAATAAATTAGAAGATAAACAATCTTTTATCCCTCAGTGAGGTGGAGAAGCACATCCATGTCTTTATCAGTTGCAGATTAGATTACAATGAATATGGATGGATCACCATCTTTCCATGAGCCTCTTCAGACCAAGCAGCAACCTCCTGTGTTGGAAAAATGACGCCATTGAGGAAGTGCAAAGGAAACTGCAGTTTCTCGAGTGTCCACTTGGGTCTGGCTGCAAAAGCCCAGAGACCCTTTTAATGTTAAAAAGACCATTTTTACAGCAGGTTTAGACATGTTTACAGCCTGTTCCAAGAAGCCAGTTTGATCTGAATAGCTCATTTCTTTATTGGTTCACACTGTAGAGGGGAGGATTTTTCAGAACTCATCGGTTTTGATTTGATTAAGCCTTACAGTTATGCACTTTTGTGGCCGTGGCTGATCTGATCATTATTGTGACCAATACATTCCTTCAGTCATTTTTCAGGTGAATGTGTGAACTATTGTTGTAAGAGTTTCCTCCTTGTCTTTGTTATTTATAATAGTTAATGAGGAGTCATCTGTTCTTAGTCTGTTGGTTGAACAAAAGAAACACGTTTTAAACATCACTTGAAGCTTTTTAAAAAGGTGTTAAGCTTTTTTACACAACATTCTGACACTTTAGAGACTAAATGACCAAGCATGCAAATGTTCAGCAGATTGATTCCTATTGGCATCTTCTTTTTAGTTTTGTTTGACAATATGCGTAAACATTATTTTTATGCAAACGCAAGCTACAGCTGAGGGTACTGATGGGAATGGTTTTGGTTTTGAATGTATTTGGTCATTAATGAATTTTTTGGATGAATAAGCGTTTCAAAGTTATTATAAGTAATCCTGAGGAGGAGGGCATTAATGTTTTTAAAAATGTACAAGAAAAATCTCACTGTGCTGCCGAAGTATTTTTTTGGGGGGCACTAAATTTAGAAAGATTCATCCTTTAGGTACAATGAATTTGTTTAGTTTTATTTCCTTATGCTAAGGTTATGATAAAGTTCAAGTTTTACACAAATCAATAAAAGCCTAAAATTGTAGTAGATGATAACGTTTTGTGATTCTAGGTGTCCGCTGTTTTTTGTGTGTGTTTTTTCCCCACATGAGAGCAGAGAGAGATGAGAGCATGCAGCAGAGCATCATTTCTCCACCATGTTTGAAACTAAGTGCTCTGTTGAACATGCGTCATGATAGTAAGCTTTAGCTCAACAAACCTGCGAAGCAAAGAAATAGCATTCATAATAACACATAAAGAGAAGCTAAGTATTATGTAAGTACAGAAAAAACACTCTCTGATCTCTTTCTTTATTATGTCTCTCTTTTTCTTCAGTACGTAAGCTCGCCCCCAATGAATTCCCCCACAAACTGTATGTACAGAACTATACCTCAGCCATCCCAGGAACCTGCCTCACCCTGCGCAAGTGGCTCTTCACTACAGAGGAAGAGATTCTGCTCAATGACAACCAGTTGGCTGTCAACTACTTTTTTCACCAGGTGTGTGCACATCTATCTTTTTTCTCTTGTGTGTTTTTATTTTATTTTTTTCTTTCTAACATTTTCTCGTGTTTGGCTCGATCCCTGCAGGCTGTGGACGATGTGAAGAAAGGCTTCATCAAAGCAGAGCAGAAGTCCTACCAGCTGCAGAAGCTGGCTGAACAGAAGAAGATGTCAATGGTGAGTGTCTCACTTATGAAACATCACATCACTCTACTACAGTTCCTGAGTCATACACACACACACACACACAGAAATAGATATATTTACTGATTATAACTCAGTTTGTCTTCCACTAGCTTCAATTCTCCCACCTGTTCAGTCGCTCTGCGCTGTGTGTGATGTAACACACAGGAGTCTTCTGAGGGTGGAGGTTGTGTCACAGTGTGAGTGTAGTAGTGTAGTGTAGGAAATGTGCATTGACTGCATAGTTCTCACATATGCACTCCGGATCATATCTAGATAATTACAGGAGGACTTCTCCGGAGATTCTCCCGACCTAGCCGTTCACATATGCTCCTCACAGCGAGAGTCCCCTACACAACATTATAATGAAAATATTTGCCTTTATATCAATGCTATGTGTAGTCCAATGGAATGACAACATCCACAAAAGAGTGGAGAACAACATACTGACGAACAGAAAACAGAATGCAGCCGTTTAATTACGTGCACGGAGATCGTAGTGGTTGCGTGCAGACACTTTAGGCAGTCACTGTATATAAACGTCACTCTCTTTCTATTGGCTCGAGTTGAAATCTCCGGAGTGTATGCTGCCGCGTTCAGACATCAGCTCACTCTGATTTTCTGCAGAAAAAGTACTAGGGGTCTGACCGGAGAAACTCCGGGTAAAGACTGCGCGAAAAATGCAGCCTTTTACGTTCACACATAAGCCTAAAGTCCCTCCGGGTAGCCAAATCTCCAGAGTTTTTCAGTAGATTTCTGTATGTGTGAAAAGGGTTAGACAGTACATTTATAAATGACCCATATCCTGCTACCTGAATATGTACATTGTCCTCTTTATATAAGGTCAGGTCATAAATGAAGTTAAGTGTGGGTTAATCTCGAACTAATTCTAGTGTTTGCTCACAAACGGCTCATCTTGTTTGCATGCAGTTCTCATATCCACAAACAAAACCTGCACCTCTCCAATCTGAACTCACACAGCGATGTGTCCCGCCCTGCTCTCAGCCTGTACCCGTCTGCAGCTCCTCTGACGTTTTTTTTAAAACGTTGCGTTTTATAAAGTTACTTACCAAGTTGTGCGTCTGTTATTACAGCTGGTGAGTCTTGTTTCGAGAGGCTTTTTATTAATGATGTAGCAAAACTATGATCGGCAGCAACCAGCTGCACAAAAAGATTAAAACAACGGTGTTGGAAGGGTTATAATTAACATGGGACATCGGCCCATAATCATTGCGAGACCGAAGAGCTGCTGTCTCTCTCTGATCACCTGCAGAGCACACAGACACTACCTGCAAAACAAATGCAGCAGGTAAAAAGGGGATGCAGATCGTCCTCTAGTTTATAAAATTGTAGATGGTGTTCTTATATGGATTAAAGAATTCAAAAATTGGTCGACAAATTTACTTGGGCAGGTAAAGTCTAGGTGCGGAAAACACTGACCTTACAAACCCTGCCTCTTTCTCTCACAGTACCTGAGCTTGTTACGGAGTTGCGAGGGCTACAATGAGATCATGTTCCCCCACTGTTCCTGCGACTCCAGACGTAAAGGCCACGTCATCACAGCCATCAGCATTCATCACTTTAAGCTGCACGCTTGCACCGAGGAAGGGACACTCGAGGTATCACAGGACCTGTTTGTTTGTTTGTTTGTTTGTTTGTGTGTTTTTGCACTTACATTTTTCATGTATTTAAAATGGAACAAGTGTACTTAAGCTCAGCGTTGTTACAGAACCAGGTGATTGCATTCGACTGGGGGGAGATGCAGAGGTGGGACACGGATGAAGAGGGCATGGCCTTCTGCTTCGAGTACGCACGAGGGGAGAAAAAACCCCGCTGGGTCAAGATTTTTACCCCCTATGTAAGTAACACATTTAAATGCATGTGCTAAGATTCTGTAAGCAAAGTACAGCCTGAAAAAGATAGAGATAGAATGTTGAAAAAGCTTATTTACCAAGTCGTTGAACCATTACTTCAAAAAACTTTTCCTCTTTGCATTTGCTGTTCAGTTCAACTACATGCATGAGTGCTTTGAGAGAGTCTTCTGTGAGCTGAAGTGGAGGAAGGAGGTAAGGACCATCCACTTACAGACTAACGTCCTCTATAACAAGCAGTTTCCATGTGTCCTTTACGATTACTCGTGTTTCTACAGGTGGAGGAGGAGGCTACAGACAAGGACAATAAGAACTGCAGTAAAGATGGTATGTGTGGCAAGGTAAGGCTTTGCCTGCCTCTGTCCATTCCATGATCAGTGACGGCCTCAGTGAATTTCTTTTTTTTTTCTTCTCTCTCTGAGTTTGTCTGTCCTCGTCTTCATTGCCGTCTCTGTTGCAGAATATTTTCCAGCTCCTGAGGCACAGAAGGGATGGAGGCACCTAGGAAGGGAGATCGTTACCTCTTAACTTAGACACCGTTGTCACTGACTCTGCTCAGTCCGGCCCTCATCTAGCCACCCAGCTCCTAGCTACATGGTCGTCATTTACACTCCCATCAGCTGCAACCTGAAAACTCCCCCCCCATTTCCCCCCAAATACACGCAAACCAACAAGCATCGGCAAATGAACAAACGGGATAAGAAGCGGCATAAGAAGCTTAAGACACATGAACTGGAGCTCTTGAATCGAGCACATCATAATCACACATTTAGCAGAGCTCTGTAAAATAAACTATAGACTTATATCTATAGACTTATGGATTAATTTAAGCCATCCTCCTTTTGGCAGCGACTTGAAGTGGAATGTTACTCGCACACGAGGAGGTTTTGAGCCAACTCTGAAGTTGTTCTACCTGTAAGGAAAACGCTGAATTGAATAAGTAGATATTGCTGTACTGATAAGGGAAACTGAGAGCTGTAAAAACAATGATCAGGGATACTGAAGGTTTGACCACAGGAAAGACACTAAGCTTCTGAATTTATGGAACAAGCAGCGGTGTCTTTTTTGGCCAGGTTTTAGCGTGCTGATTGTGTTATGCATGTGAACAATGCGTGCAGCAGGGCCCCTGATTGCAAGGGGCCAACTAGAGCGAGGCCTTCAGAATGTAGGTGTCACCTTGATTATTTCATATTATGCATTTTCTTGTGTTGCCGCTAATTTTTTCGCATTTGTAAATGAAAGCTATTAACATTGGCAAATAGAGAAGGGAGAGAGAAAGGGAATATTTTGTAGGATTGTTAGACACATTTTTTCAGTCTGACAACACAGCTCTGATCATTGGGAACATGAGCAGAAACATGTTAAATGTTGCACTTTATCCAACAGTATTAACAACCTCCACACACGGGACATGTAACTGAAGAAGCAGAACCGTGTGAATAACACTACAACTAGCCTGTGCTTTGTATGCATTGATTTTTCTGACTGTTTGACCACAGTATGATTATGTGCTGCATCATCAAAAAGTACATGCTGCGTTCAGAGCCATGCATTAAACTTTTACGTATATATAGTATTATATGAACAATGTGCTTTTCTGCAGCAGCGATGTGGCGCACTGATCAGACAAGTGGCCGCTTGGCTCCAGTGGGTTTTAAGTGTGTTACCAAAACAAGTCAGCAGGGGTCCCTCTCATCCTTTTTGCTCTGCTCCAGCTGGTGATTACTTTGTTTCTGAGAGCTCCCACAGGATTTATAACAAGCCTGTTAATTCGAACTGCAGCTCTATTTATCTCTGCTGCTGGTCCTCTACTATACTGTTCTATCACTCGGGCACTCCGGGTTAAGTGGAGAGAGGATTTCTTAGTAAAAAAGGGGCAGCTTGCACCATTCATCAACATGATAGATATGAAGATTAAGTGTGCACATTCACTGCAGGCTGCGTAGCAACAGCAGTGTAATATAATAAACAGTGTAATTAAATGTCCCTCTGAAGGAGCCCAGTTCATGTTCTCGTTCCTGGAATAATGTCAGAGTAATAGCAGTGTGATGTTATATAAGTTAAAACATAATCATCTAATGATCATGCACGTCTCTCAGACAAATTAAAAATGAACCACAGCTTATTACATCATTAAAACTCTTAAACTGGAAAAAAAAGGATTGCTCAGTGCAATCTTTTGATGCAACTTTATTCATCAAATAAAAAGTAGCTTTTTTTTGTAAAACTGACTCATTTAGAAAGATATTTTGAAAGTTTTCACTTCATTTAAAGTTGTTTAGAATCTGTCTAGTTGCGACTAGTTTCTTCTAAATAAACCGCTGCCTTTGGTTTGATGATTTATTAACATGAGAGTATGAATATTTCTCAAAATGATGGTGACTAAAACATGGCTCACTTTTGCAGAATCACATGTTGGATAATTAAACTAATTAAACTCAAAACAACAAACAAACCAAAAAATCATTTGAACCCTCAGTTGATTCCATTAAATGTCAGTAAACCATAAAATTCATTAATCCAAGTCATTAGTCCTATAAAGCTAACACTGAAAATATCAGTATTTCTGAGGATCTTAAAACAAGTAAATAGTCATAGATTGACTTCATTCCTACTAAGAGGACTTGTAATGGTGGTGCTTTTCACAGAGGCCATTTCAATGGATTAATGGGCTTCAGCAGACCTCTGTGAGGGTGTAAAGAAGGTTTAATTGATTGTGGTTGAGCTTTGAATTGAGTGATTGGATGTGTAGTCCTTAAGGCAGAACAGATTTCCCAGGATTCTTGTCTGTGTACCGGACCATGTCTGATATGTTCGATTGTCTGATCCGCCCGCCTTCAAGTGAAGACCCCCCCCCCCCCCCCCCGCTTCTCTCTCTCTCTTTCTCGTTCTCTCTTGTCCTGACTTAAGTGAAGTGTCACTAACGTTATTTATTTACCTAAGATAAAATGTTGAATTCAGCGTCTCTGTTGTTATGTTTTTCACCTGATATGCTTTGGCTTTCAAAGAGTGGCACTAAGAAATGGACGGCCATAGACAACTTGCAGATCCTCTGACGTGTTGAAATGTAAAATTTGAGACAAACTGTTTGGTTACGTCGCTTACTGTAACAAATTGTAACATATTCTTTTAAATAAACCAATTTATTGATGCAAAGTTAGTGTGTGTGTGTGTGTGTGTGTGTGCGCGCGCGCGCAGATAACAAAAGCAGTAGTGGGTGTTGAGAGTCGAGGACTGCCAAAATCCTGAAGCTGCTCACAAGCGTTTCCATAAGCTGTGGGAGAATAATTCTACAGATGATTTCACACTCGTTTTCTCTTTGTGTTCCCACATCTGTTTAATTTCTTCCTCTCACCGGCGTGTTCTCCTTCGTCTCTTCCAAACTGCGACGTCTGTTAATGAGATCTGGGAGACAATTACCCAACAGGCAGAGAAACCGTCGCTCGGTATCGACCTGCTTCGAGTGTCTGCAGCTGGTAATTAATAGCTATTGACTGTTGCTGCTGAGAGATAATATCTGGGAACATCTGAATTTTGAGAACACCAACATTTTAGTGTATGGAGAGAAGTCTTGCACTTGAGACTTTGGTGTTGGCAGACATTGGTCACATGATCGGACTGATTTAGACTGAAGTTAAAGCTCCTGTAAGGAGTTTTAAATAGGAAATATACTTATATAAACACTGATGCCTCTTTATAAGCTACAAAAGCAAAAAGTTTGCTATTGCTGGATTGTTATTTTCTATGTCTGAAACTGCTGCTGTGGGGTAGGTGTCATACAAAGTGATTAACAGCACCCAACAGGAACATACTTTAAAAAAAATTTCCTCTGCAAAGATTCTCAATGGGGGATACCTTTAAAAAATGGAGGCGATGATTGATAACAAGAACACAACAAAATCTGCAAAAGAGATATGAGGTACAATTTGTCCACAGGGTCGCCAAAATGAGCAAAAATGAAAGTTCCTTACAGAAGCTTTAATATTGTGTCTTTAAAAAAAGTTGATCTTGGGGTGTAGATGGCCAAGTGGTTAGGTCGCGGCCTACGTACAGGCGTTGGTCCTCCAAGGTTAAACCCAGGTTTGAGTCTGACCAATGGCTCTTTTCGATTTCTTACTCTATCCACTGTCCTATCAAATAAAGACATAAGAGAAAATCTGGTTGCTAAATTGTTACAAAAACATGGCTTTCTTTGTTTTTAAATGGGAAATTGAAAATCTAAAACATAATAAAAGAGGAATTAAATTGTGGGAGGGGTTGGCAACCGGACAACTCTTCTTCACTGGGAAAGTGGAAAATTATTATTGACCAAAAAATGTTTGGTAGTCAGCACTCTCATATCAGTGGATCTTTGACATTTTTCACTTAATGAAAGACTATTAAAAAACAACACTTAAAAACTTAAACTTCTTCATTTTATATATTCTGTCTATATATTGCTTCTTTTTGTAACACATGAACAAACACAGTAAGTTACAGCTCTGCACAAGCAGCGTACATCTCTCACATAAGGGAAAGCTCAGAATTAAAATAGCCTTTTTGTAACTTGAGCAAATCTTTTGTTCAAAGAAACATTTACAGCCAGTTTAAGTTTATTTGGGTTCAAAGCGCACTTTAGGCACCAAGTGGGTGTAAAAGTTTGGAAAGATAAAAGTGTCTCTTGGGGGACACGTCAAAACTTCACATACCTTCTTCTGTCCACAATTACTTTTAGTCCAAATTTGTTTTTTATGAGATCTTAATCACATGATCAAGGAGCTCTAAGCTGTAGGATAATCTAAAAAAATAAATAAATAAAGATATTCCCTGATTATAACAAATAACAAATATAACAAATGCTAATTGTTGTTGCTCATTTTGAGCTTTGAAAAATGTTGAAAATCTATGAGGGCATGGCAACCTGTCAAAAAAGATGTTCTTATTCCTCCTCTTCACTGTCAAAGTGGGAAATGCTGAGTGGGTAAACAAAGAAAAAATTGCTTGGTAAGCGCTCTTTGTCATTGCAGTGGAACTTTTCAATCAATTGAAATGTTTTCAAAAAACAGCACATTGTACAAACTTTTACTTCTTTTAGTTCATATCTTATATTTTCTCTGTTGTTTTTAAACACATGAGTAGCTCTAGAAGTGGCGGGTCTATGGTGTGCAGTGTGTGCAGACGTGTGTGTGTGAATAGTTTAAGAGGTATAATTGGTTACTGCGTCAGGTCTGCAGCAGTTTCTTCATTTTACCACTTGATGTGTGAGTGGATTTGTGTGTCTTTGGACGTGGGTGCGACAACTGCAGCCTCACACTGCGGTGGCCCCTTGATACCAAAGCCTGCATCCTACACTCCTGCTCTTTTCTGTTTTACTCTCTCTGCTTCTTCTCTGAGCAAACGGCTCTGCACGAGCTGTCCACACAGAGCAGGTGGACGACTGAGTCACCGCATGGGGAGGAGAGTACATCAGATTTATTACCTGCGCTGTATTGCATCGCTCAGCAGCCACTCACACACACACACACACACACACACACACACACACACACACACACACACACACACAAAAACAGAGTAAGCCATTGAATTGCACTGTGAACTGCCCTGGCTGCACACACTAAGAATGAAGGAGGTTTAAAGCCAAATGAATGGCTACAGGTTTGAAGGCTTGAGTATAGCTGTGCCAAGCAACCAATTTGCCAAATTCAACTGTCATAAAGGGTTTGCATTATTTCAAAGTCAATCATTTCAAAAGGGGAGGTTTGCCAAAATCCTTAACATAAATTCTCATAAAGACTCACTTTGCCAATTCAGGATATATGTCCAGTCACCCTTTAATGCTGCTCTAAATACAGTTTAGCAGCAGCAGCATCCCCAAGGAGGATGTGGAGGAGGAAGAGGAGGAGGGGGGATTCACCACTCTCCTCCTCCTCCTCCTCTCCCTCTCTCATTAATCACCAATCAGTTGAAAACTTTATTGGCTCCTATTTGCCGTCTCAGCATTGTTCTCTTCCTCCAATGTATCTCTCAACCGCCCAACCACCCAGTTCTTTATATGCTCTTTTTCAATCTGTTTCCTCCTTAAAGCCCCCTCCCCTCTTCTTCCATCTCTCTATCTGCCACTGTCACCCCCCCCCCCCCCCCATCCCATCCCATGGCTGAGCATCATTACCCCCACCTTCCTGGTTTCTGTTTCTCCCCAACTCTGTCTCTGTGATTCCTTCTTTCCTTTTTTAAAAACTTGGATTGCAGAAAGGCAAGCCAGGGAACAGAACTCTTGGTGCGCGTCTAGAGAGTACAAAAGAAGAAATAGATTATTTCTCAATGGTAACAGCTATTGGCATCGTGTCCAACTGAGAGATGTTCATCATGATTTAAATCCGAAGCCTTTTTAGATTATCTGAAATCGGAGTGTGATTGTTCAAAGTTAAATGTGACTTGAGCATAATGTTTTTCTATTCTTCTGACAACTCAAAGCTTTTACACAAGCATTATGCATGTCACACTGACATACCCATTCACATCCATCCACACACTGATGGCAGAGGATGCTATGTAACTTCACAATCAGAAGTAACTAATCACATTCATACACACTAAAACCAAAGCAGCAAGAGAAGATTTAGGGTTGAGTGTCTTGCCCAAGGACACATCAGACAGGTTGCTGCAGGAGCTGGGGATCGATCCCCCAACCTCTGGTTGAGAGATGTCTGGCTCTACCAACTGAGCCACAGCCACCCCACAGCATAATTTGATAAGTGAAGGATGATGGCAATGTGTAAAAGCCTTTTGCCATTACCTCTGATAGCTCTCTTCTCTCTTTCCCACAATGCAATCTGAACTGTATCGATTTCAACAAAGAGATAAAACTCTCTCTAAAAGCTGATGTTGTTAAAGGTGCTGCAGAAATGGATCACCAATGGCATTATACTGTTATATGAATGATGACCAGGCTGTTTTATTATGATACAGATTTTTTTTTAGTTTAAAAAGACTGAGTCCGTAAAATAAACCTGTTTTACATTTTTTTCATTATATTTGGGAAAACCTCAGAGAAAAGCTCACACATTGCGGTCTGTATTTCCACTGATGATCAAAGGAAGACACTAAACAACAAACAGAAGTGAGCCTGATGTAACTCTGAAATAGTAAACTGAGTGAATCCTGTGCGTGTGTGACAAAGATCAGCTTTCATTTTACATGCAGAGCATCATTCCAGTTTTTACTGACAAACATCCACAGGATGATAAAGCATCTGAAGACGGTGGTTCAAACATTTTATAATGAAGTTTTATAAACTCATGCTTTTATTTTGAATGGTAATTATCACGAGAGAAAAAAAAAAATCTGAAATTTTCATTGGACTGTTTCAAAAAACGAATGATGTTGCTGCTTTTTTCCACAAACCGCAGTCGGTATTTCTTAATGAAATATTTGATGTTCTGGTGAAGGTTTCTCTTGACATTGAAAATGATAATACTAATAGTGAATGCGCGAGATAATTCCTTAACTTTTGGGGCTTGTGTGTCTCCTTTTAGGAGAAACAAATACGTCAGTTAAAATTCAATAAATACCTTTGAAAAAAAGGACTATCAAGAATTCTTTAATGGTCAGGTTTTTTTCATATAACTTCTCAAGTCATGAGAAAAACTGCAGTGTAAAGTTTTGAGTCCACTCCACATGAGTCATAGTCCGCTCGAGGTTACTGAGCAGGAATCATTTGCTGTTGTATGTCCCTTTTAAATAAACATTAATTGTGCTTCCAACAAATCATCGTCTGTTATATCCCTTCAAATCCCTCATTCCCTTAAACCTGCCATTTCTGTCTGTCAGAGGAAATCTTTTGACAGTGCTTCTCCAAAGTTTGGTGCAGCCATGAGAATCGCGATGGTGCAGATGATGTTAAAAACACTGAATCCAACCAGAAACAGGCGGTCAATGACGGACGCGGCAAACTGCCACTGCTCCGCCAGACTTAGCTGCCGATCCTGCTCCCTTACGCGTTCTACTAAAAACTGCACCTCCGCCAGAAGAGCCTGCAGCTGGTTGTCCACGGCAACAGAACGAATCATACTGCTGTTGGTGTGTGAAGCTGCAGATCTCGATGATCCCCCCACAGCATCCAGGACGCAGGGTCCAGAGCAGGTGGTTGAGGGTTCAGGTTCTGGGGACAGCGGAGTCTCCTGTGGGGGGCTTCCAAACTTTGAACATGGAAGGTGGTGATGGAGCGGTGTATCTCCTCCTGCTACTGCTCCTTCTCCTTCTCCTCCACCGAGTCTGCTGTTAACCCTCCCGTGACTTGTTGTTCTGCTCATCTGTACTGGATCCAGCTCTCCAGGAGTCTGGAAGGTCTGGTAGCCCATGTAGAGCAGGTGACCGTTGGGCTGTGGATGTAGATTGGGTTCTCTGGGGCAGGGATTAAGGGGCACGGCAGCCTGGGTGCCGGGCCGGTGGGGCAGCAGGTGGGGCAAAGGGTGGTTCAGCTGAGCCAGGCTGACCTGCAGGGAGTTTAGACTCTGGGGGTGGATGGAGGGCAGCGGCGTATGGTTGGTGGTGGTGGTTGTGGTGGTGGTGGGTGAGGAGAGGGTCTTGCTCTGGCAGTCTGCCTGGCAGTTGGAAAGGGTCGGCTCCGCCCCCTCACCCGGACGCTTCATCCGCAGAAACCAGGGAACCCACTGCAGCAGAACCAAGTGCACCTGACACACATTGATACAGACTGATGAGAAATAACACAACACATGCACATTTCCTATTGTGGTGGCAGTTTTCTGGACTGACAAACGAGAGGGTGTCTTTAAGTGTTTTAGCTTACTGAGCTTTATCGTATTGGTGAAGGCTGTTCACCAATGAGTTTGGTTCTGAATGAAATTTCAGCCAGTTGAAAGGAAGTTTTTCTCAAAACATTTTTGGCAAGTGCTCGCTCAGTTTCAAAGTCATTATTCATTTGTTGCTTTGTATGTGTGTTTGTGTGGTGTTGATGGAGATTTGGTGTGAATCTCTAATTCACTACAACTTGTACAAAAAAGCCTCACAAATAAATGATCGACTGATGGGCTCAAGACATACAGAGATCGATTGTCTCCACAGCAAAGAGCAAAACTTGCCTCTCGTGTCTCTTTCTGATACACAAGAGTGAACATGCTGAGACGGGCTGTCACACAGCTGTCACAAAGAGAGAATTCCTCCAAGGCTCGGATCAGTTACAGGCAGCTAGCTCAGCCATGAACCTTTAAACTGTCTGATACGCTTCACAAGTAAGAGGATAAGTCTGTTTTCAAACCTTTTAATATTACAAAACAAACACACATCAGATGAACATAGAGGTTCATTTATATGGGTATTGCTTGTATTGCTTATCAGGAGTGACAACTTTAACAAAATAATTAGATCTTCTTATGCAAAGCAACACATGCATAAAAGACAGTAAAGCAATGGACAAGATGCATGAAAACAGAAAGTGTTGGTCAAAGGAAAAAGGAAATTAAGAGAATAAAGTAATCCAGTGAACAGATCAGACTTAATATGTTAAAGAAAATAGATTAAAGACCAGAGTAGCCGATGTAAAGACGCTGAAACAGATGTCATGTGATCACATCTTGTATTCTTATCACACAACATTCAACCTCAAGCTTTAAATCTAAGTAGAGCTTTTTATCCCAGCCAAGATTTAAATCAATATGTAACTAAGCTTGTTTTGATCAACTTAGAGAGATCTGACCTTGGTTTATAAGATGGAAAAAAAAAGAAATCTCATTCAAGCCATTATTTCATCACATTTTCACACTATTGCCATACTCTTTTTCAAGGTTTTTGTCTCAAGACGGAATGATATCACTTCTCATAAGCGTCTCTTCAATGAGTGTCTCTGTGTTCATTTAAAAATGTTCTGATGACCTGCGTGAGCATGCACAAAGGTTTTTTTTTACTGAACTGTTAAATTCTTACGAGACTTGACGTAACCAGACCTCTTGGCTTTTGCAGAGTCCACTTAAAGACCATTGAGATCAAGCTTTTCTCTGTTAGGACTCTGGAATGATTTGCCTGAGAAAATCTATTAAGAGCTTCTTAAGTCACTCATATCATACAGCTTTTCTTGTATCTTGCAGTTGTGTATAAACCCTGTCCTTTTTTTGTTTTATTTCTATTGCATTGAATGAGAGAAAAATGCTCCGTCATCACACCTACTGTTGCTATTATTTTGATAACTCACCCAGCGTGGCATGTTTCCATTATTTGGACTGTGGTGATGGAACTGAAGGACAATGACTGTTGCTACCACAGACATTGCGACGATCACCATGGTGCTGGCAAAGTACTGACCTTCAGACACACAGGAGAGGAGGACATTAGATGCATAAGAGTTTTTCAAATATGTATGCTATGAACAAAAACAGCAAAAAAAAAAAAAAACCTCAAAGAGTTATGCACATGTGCAAAGACAGCAAGAAACTGACCAATCAGGGGTACAGAATCCGAAGTGGCGGGCATAATCTCTGCAACCATCAGCATGAAGACAGTCAGAGAAAGCAGAACGGTGATGCCTGCAGGTGGACACAGGGCACCAGGGAGAAGTGGGATGCAGAGAAAAAGAGGAGAGAATCTTTAAGAGAAGAAAGCACGCAAAAACATTTTGTGGGATAGTATTTTTGGTATGCTGCACTTGACTTCTGCTTCGATCGTTTGTCTTTGTGACACCCAGAGGAAAACTCATTCGATTTTTAGTCTTCCTCATCTTCCCTCTCGCTTGTTCTGTTTTTGTCTCTGTCATGTTTCTTCTTACTTCCATCTCCGCCTTCTTGTCAAATACATTGCATAGCTGATTGAAAGTTTTCCAGTGAATGTTTATAGAGAGAGAGAGATTGTAATAGAAGCATTAAACAAGTAAAATAAGCCTCATGCTTTCACAGGAGTATGCAGCTAAAAAAATTACATTTCACCCTACAACGGTCCACCTTCTTTTTCCTCCCATTTTATCCCATTCAATGCTTCTAAATGTAACACCTCCACCCTCCTTCTCGCTTGTCATTATTCCTTACCCAGGCTGATCTTCTCCCCGGAGTTGGCGGGGAGCAGAAAGCTCAGCAGGGTCATGGAGGAGAGGAGCACGCAGGGGATGAGCAGATTGAGAGCGTAAAATAAAGTCCTTCTTCTTAAGGTCACCACAAAAGTCACATCGGGGTACGGCTCTGCACAGCAGTCGTAGAAAACCTCATGTCGACCTCCAGGGACCTCTGAGGGGACAGAGAGACAAACGGAAGATGACAATATACAAATACTATACAGTATACTTATTTCAAATCAAATTGGGAGGAAATATGAAGCATTTTTTGAATGTTGTGAATGCATGTTAGAATATAAAAACGTCAATGCCAAAAGCATATTGCCACTGTATTTTCATCCGTTTATAAAGCCCACTCTGACTGATTACACATCTACATAAAAATCTAATCAATCGTTTTAGCTTTACAACTCAGGAACAGCACTTCATCACTATATGGAGTTTAATGTAAGCGCTGTTGCTAAGCAATACTGTTTGTCATTCAGGGACTCAAAAACCCGTTTTACCCAGCAGGTCCCACTCTCCGTTGGGCATGTAGCCTGACACGTCTGCCTCCTTCATCTGGATGTCCAGCAGCCATCCGTCAAATGTCCAAGAGCCGAACTTCAGCTCACAGCGCTGGATGTCAAAAGGAAACCATCGCACATCCACGTTACATGTGCTGATAAATATTCCTTTAAAACAAGAGGAGGGGGAAACACAGAAGGAAGTATGAAAGTCGAGTAAATCATCCCTAGATGTAATGGGAATTTGATTAAAGATGTTGTTGGTGTGCAGCCATCTGGAAGTATGTGATGAGGAAAATATTTGATGGCAGTAAACATTTCTAGATGGATTTTCTTGCTGCAGAAGTTGAATGGCTGAAGATTCAAGGACAAGATACTGCTTTCACAAACATACCTGGAGGCAGATACTCGCAGAAGCCGCTGGAGTTTACCAGCACATTTGTCTTAAAGGTGGCGTCAAACTTATCATGAGCGCTTGAGAAAAGTAACACGGGAAAGAGAGAGACAGAGTTTAGAGCTCAGCAGCAGCAAATTAGTATTATGTGCATATTTTTCTATGCATACCTGTTGTAGAGCAAAATGTCAGGTGTCCAGACCTGATCAGAAGTAAATCGGAGGTTTTTAACTCCAGGATACTCAGACTGGTTCCACTGGAGATAGTGGTCATACCACTGCTGGGAGACACAAGCACAACACAGGTTTTTAAAAATGACCCCAAATCATGAAGAGCAAATATTTGTATTGCTCTTCATGTTCTTCATTCTACTTTAAATTTAGTTCATATAGCTCATAGACCTCGCTCAAACACAACCTATTTCCGTTACAAAGCTATTTTAAGCACACTGTACTCGCTCTTATTCCTCTGACACTGCTTTCACATCCCTCCCCTCAAAGTTTCCTCTCTTACCGGCATCCCTTCATCCCATATCCCTGTATCCTTACCCTCAGCCCCTTACATCCCTCAAACCTCACTCATCATTTTTGCTCTCTGCCACATATATCACAATAAACTATTCAAAATCTATTTTGTGAACTATTGTTGTGTTGGTTTACTCTTCACACATCAAATCAAGTCTGTGCAATGTCAGATAAAGTCTTTAAGTTAAAACTGTGCATATAACCTTCGCAATCAGTCGACTAATATTGCCTTATTAGAGAAAAATAAGGGAATCTGTTGATGTCCAAAGGTCTTCAAATATCCCCCTATTGAGGTGTTCATTATATTAAAACTAAAATCCATCCTCTGGGATGGTTCTATAAAGCTGATCATGCAAAAAATGAAGCCCATAAAAACAGGTTTGCACTAAAAAAATCAATATCACATTTAATAACGTTATTCACTTTACTCACCATCTGCAGCCAGGCATTCGTAGTGATAATCTGGTTCTTTTCATCCTAGCAGAACACCAAAAATGATACAGAAATTGGGTGACTGAATTATTTAAAATAGAAGTTAATACTTACTTGTGTCCGTTCTTAAAGCCTTTTACATATTTCATTTCTTCTTTATGTTGGTGTATATATGTGTATATGTTTGCCATGCATACCACATCCATGACCTGCATCAGAGTGAAGGAGAACTGAACAGTGAGAGCCTGGGAGTCGTTGGCCACAGGTCTCTCCATGGGGTTGTAGTCTCTCAGCAGTTCCCGCAGCAGAAAGCGCTGGTGAGGACCCTGCACTGACTCTGAGAAGGGATAATAACATGGGGGAGTCAAGAGAAAAAGTGACAGATATGAAGCTGTCTCATGGAAGACAAGGAGGAAGCACTGGCAACGTAGGAACCGCCTGAGAAACTGTGTGATTACAATGACAGAGGGGTAGTGTGGGGACAAAGTGGTGAAGCAATTGTAGGCCAAGAGAGCAGAAGAAACTAAGTAACAGATGTAGAGTGGACACGCTCCAGTAGAGGTAAAACAAAAAGTGGGCTTTTAGAGTACCAAAGGTGATGGGGTTTTAAAGATGGGGTCACTCTTAAAAGAGCAGAAGGATGGATACAGAAGAGTGCATTACACAGCTTAAGAGAAGGGAACACAGAGTGAAAAGAGAGGAAAGAGAGGAAAGGAGAGAGATGGGGGGGGGCAGAAAATCGTGCTCCACCTAATCAATTATGTCTCAGATTGATCACCAGCAGACAGTCGGAGACTTTCCACAACCGTAAAATTGTCAGGTCCATTCTCTGCAGAAAATAGTGAGGCCATTAAACACTGAAACACCCCGAACAGACACACACAGCACTCACGACAATGAGAGCGGGCAACTCTCTCTCTCCGCCCTATAACTCCTGCTTGGATTCACTCCTGATTCATTCTTCACGATGTAATCACTTTGATGTGGAGGGAGCTGTCAGTGGTGGGTATAAAGAAATGATTTGAATAAGTTTAAAAACTAAACTTTGCACTTTTAACTTTTAACTTTTACCTTCCCCTTGCCCAGCCCCCCAGGTTGTAGGGCTGGGCAACTAATTGAGTTTCATTGACGATTTTGGCTTCCCATGATCAAGGAAAACAAGATCATCAAGATTAAATGATTACTGTGTGCATGCCAGGTTGCGCTTGTTTTCTCCATAGGTTTTGTCATGTTGGATAAATGTATCAAAGCGTTTGTTGTTATATGCAGGCCTGCACTATTTCAATTTATTTCTATGTATTTATTATCATTGTACATTGTTATGTTTTCATACTTTTTTGCCACATACTTATTGTAATGTATTGTTTTCAAAGTGTTCAGAATGGTAAAGAGTGTTTAAGTTTGATAAATGCATTTGATCCAGATGTTGTAAAATCAATGAGAAACCAAGTTTAATAATTGTGCTCTCAATATCAATCAACAATAATCATGATCATGATTTCTGCCAGAACTGAGCAGCCATACTAAATTGTGCAAGATTTAAGGTGTCACATCTATATTCTCTAGCTAGAGCGTTGATAATCATCAATATGGTAGTACAGATGGTATAATTCAGATTAATAGCCCCAGTGCAGTGTCCGGTCATAGTAAATCACCCACTAGCAGCCTCATTATCACCCAGCTTTTTCAATCAGCTTATGCATCAATCTCTGTATCTATGTCTTTATCCATGTTATTAGGGCGCTAGGCACCGCTAAGCTATGAAATCTGCAGGAAAGATGATAAATGTCACATTGATATTGAAATATTAAGATATTTACCTCTGTGTGGCTACCCATCAACATACACTCTTTCTGTGTCTTACTAATGTGATCACAGTTATTAGGAACAAAGTGCTCAGCTGCATCGATATGTATTATATTCAGCACACACAGAAAAAACACTTATTCATGTAATACCAATGAGAGTCACTCACCCTGTAGCAGAGTCGAAAGTATCAACAGCCAAAGAGCCACAGCCTGACACATACTGCATTCCTCTCTTTTCACAGAGAAAGTGATAAAGATGGAGAAATAGGGAGAGATGAGATGAGGGAGGGTTTAAAAAAGCGGAGAGTGAGGTACAGATCGGGCTCAGAAGAGTAAGATAGAAAACAAGTGGAGAGAGTGTGATACGAGCAGTGCTGAGAAGGGAAAGGAGGAGAAGGAAGGGAGAGGAAGAGAGAGGAGAGACAGAGTGGGTGAGAGATGCAGGGAAATGAATACTCCTCTGGAAAGAGAGATTCTGTGTGTTGAAGTCACCCTTCATGCTTCTCTGCTCACTGATCATTTCCTGCAGACTTTCTGATAAGCACTTTCTGTCTATACACATCAGTCACCCTCTCGTCATTTTAACCTGTTCTTGCTCACTTTTGCAGCCAGGTTGTTTCCTCCCCTGTAGGCGTTTGATGATCAGATTTTTCACACTCTGTATTTTGAGAGCATCTGTGGGTACATATTTTGGAGTAAGCACACCGATTTAATAAACCAGGGGTGTCTAACTTGAAGCTTTAGGAGGAAATAAAGCTTCATGTAGCCTAAGTACAATAGTGACTGACAAGGCAACATATAACACTCTAAAACGAACCAAACATTAATTGGCCTACATTTTTATGAATCTTACACTTTTGTAATGTACCAAGCATGTAATGTTGGAAGCTACTTTCTTTCATTTAGGCTTACTGGACTTGAGTACGTGCAAAGAGAAATGCTGACACCCACTGGACAAAATGGTTAAGTGCAAAAATTAACTTATTTTGTTCAAACTATTTAGTGGGAACAATGTAGTGTGGTGTGTTTAATAAAAACTACTCTTGTTGAAATGTAACAACACTACAGTATTTTGAACATGCTTTTTTACCTGGTTATCTTTTTAATTGGCTTTTTTTTTGGCCTAATGAGTAACTGTTTCATTTCTGTTTTGAATACTGAGCTATTTACAATTCTACACAGGCTATATAACTTTGTTTTTTTAATACATATTCTGAGTGTGACAAGTACTGGCCAAAAAAAAGCATGACTAAAACCAAATTGAATCTTGGCACTAGAGAAACATACGTTCAAATGGATGCAGAGACAACAGACAATGTAGGCCAGGGGTACTGGCGGCCCAGGGGCCACATGCGGCCCCCATCAACCCTTAAAGTGGCCCTCAGGTCAATTTTAACATATCAATTAATTGGAAACATGAAGAAAACATGACAAAATCATGAAATCATGAAAACCAGAAATCATGAAAACCAGAAATATGCCCATAATAATATTTGATCACTGGTATATGTTGAGTTAAATTTGAGACATTACTGACTGTAATCGTTTTCGTATTCTACAATTTGGCCCTCTGGCAGTGAGAATTAAATGAATGTGGCCCCTTGCTGTGACCTAAGTTGCCCTAGTTGGCCTACATGTTCTATAACCTGCTGACTACCTAGAAAGATGCAATTCGAGCAAATTAAAATGTAATCGTAAACTTTAAGAGGGAGAAACCTTTTCAAGCACAAAATATTATTTAAATAACAAAAAAAAGTGAAAAGGTGGTGGGGGGGAAGTATTGCAAGCAAGACACCCAAAACGCTAAAGTATGCGAAGGAAACACCCGAAGAATATTTGAACCTTGCCCATGCGGCCCGCGTCATCCACTTGCGGCGACTGAGTGTTGTGTCGGTCGCAAACATTACGCGTAAGCCCTTCTCGCACCAGTTCATTGATTGTTTGTATCACTGCATTAACATATTGCACAGCAACACGGGCCCAGTGAAGCGTAGCCCCTGCGGGAAAAGGTAAAATATAAAGCTCATATTTTGTCAGTATAATTTAGTATGACTTGAGAGAAGAGTTGTTTTAGGGGATACAAGCAGCTGGCTGTGCTGCAGGCTGTGGATAGAAATGGTGCAGTGTGAGTGCGGTGCTGCCAGTGGTGCTAACAGGCTAGCTCCTGTTAGCTGAAGGAGGAACGATGACTGCTTTCAGATGTTCACTTCTCCTTTACATGCGGCTTTACTAAAACACTTCCAGACAGGTCGCTAAAACTTCTTCTTGGTGGTTTTAAGCCAGTTTAACACGTGTTCTTACCTGTTAAACATGTTTTCGTTGCGTAGGGTTGTTAATGGCTTTTTAAAAAAAGTCTTTTTGTCAAGAAACAAATGTGAGGGATGACAAATGAGAGTTTTAATTGTGTTGTCCATCTCTTGGATGAGAGACAGAGGAGTCCAAGTACTTTAACTCACAGAACTCAAAGAAGTCAAAAGATCAAATCGCCTGCATGTTGCTGTACGAGATTCAGAGGAAGTGTCATTGTTTTATTTAGATACAGGCAGCAGACACCCTGTCAAACCTTTATCGCAGCTTAAGTTTGAGTCGTCCAGATATATTTAATGATGAACAAATGAAACTACATGTTCTTATGTTTGAATAGACCCAGTGCTATGTCATGTAAATAACCTTATTTTGTAATATAGAACTCTTAGTATAGTAAAATCGACTAGTAGCCTATATGTTGTTATTAGTCTTTTTATATTAAATTAAATTAAAGTTATTAACCTCATTCTGCAGGATTCCGGTGAATATTGTAATGTAAATGGTGACAAGTCATTTTATTATGGTGTAATGTAAGATTATGATTAAGTCATTTTATTATTGTGTAATGTAAGATTATGATTAAGTCATTTTATTATTGTGTAATGTAAGATTATGATTAAGTCATTTTATTATTGTGTAATGTAAGATTATGATTAAGTCATTTTGCACGTACACTCATTCCAGTTGTACGAGAAGGGAATAATATATTATTATTATTATATACTGATGTGTATAATGGTGAACTTTAACTATTAGTGCTTTATTACGTTATTTTTTTCTCTCCCCCTGTCACAATCCCGAATACAAGAACCACTATTTTTGCTGTGATATTTGTATCTCCCTTATTGTATAACATCACTTTCAGTCTACTTCATTGTGTTTTATTTTTAATGTGAGAATCTGATCCGAGCAAGTTTCCCCCTGACACAGTGTGCAGGAGACAACACGAGGATGTCCTTGTGGCTCCACAATACATCGGGCACATTGATAAGACTTTTCCAAACACTGGAATTAAAAGACGGTATCAGACAGCATTACTTTGAAAAATATTGTGTATACATTAAAAGTACGTATTTCCGTCTTAATGTCTGTTTATCAGCATGCGCCCTTATTGCCAAGACTTTACGCGCCTCCTTGGTCACGTGGCCAACAATGGAAACCTAATTATTTTCTTTAGAAAAGAAAACGAAACTTACTCAGTCCCTATTGCAACCTGTTTCCCTTTCCATGCTCGAGTCACTGTGATTTTACCCACCTTAACTTTCGTGATATTATTCTTAGTGACGCGTTTTACACCACTTCATGCAACATTTATAAGCCAGCAACATCTCAGGTGTTTTAGTTGAAGCTGCTGAAAGGACATCACTCGGTACAAAGCGGAAGACCCTGCGCGTTTGAAGCATTTAACAACACGAACTGCTGGATAGTTTAACCATCTTCTGCCGGTTCACGGT